AAGAAGAAAATATATCAGCAAATAATGTCAGATAAAAGTAGTTTTTATCTGAACATGTACCAGATGCTCAGATCAGCTGAGAGACAGGGATGGGACAAGTGGCTGGAAACAAGGAAGGGGCAGCAGTGCTTCCTCCAGCACCAATGTTGCTTTATTCCTGCTCAGAGTGACTTGAAATAACCACAGGATCCGAGTCATGTGAAATGAAAATGTGGTTCTTATGCACTGGCAGTAGGGGAGCTCACAGGAAATACCCTGGCAAGCAGAGAGTACTTTCTAGGCATTGTTGGAAATTGGATGTATAAGTATCTGCTACTTGGACTCTGGTTACAGGGATCTGTGCAGCTGGAAGGTGGTTTCTGTCCTGGAAACCTAAACAAGCTGTTTTTAACTCACTGAGCTCCAGTTTCTGAAGAGGAGCTTGATAATGTTCATGGGGGGCTTTCTGATTTCCCCAAGGTCCTCATTTGCACCGACTGATTTCCCCACAAAATACTTTTGCCTGAAGTGTTTGGCATTTAAAATGGTCATTTTACTGATTTTGTTGACATGGAATCCTGGCTTAAATTTGAGCAGTGGTCATTTCCCTACAGTTTTGTAAGGATATAAAACATAGCTAAAGGTATAAATGAAGCACAACACTTATTTGCTTCTAGTAGAGGGAGCCCAAGCCAGTTTGACAAGGGACACTTGCTCTCTGCATTCTGCTGCCAGGAAAACTTAACTTTAGGGGAAAAGGGTTCCATACAGAGTAGGTGTAAAATCTGTTGCCCAAGGTTGCCTTCTATCAGGTTAAACAATGAAAAATAATTCTCTCTTTAAAGACAGAAAAAGAGAAGTTGGATGGGTATGGAGATAGGAAAAGTGTGGGAGTAGAGCAAGGCAGAAATGAAAGTAACAATCCAAACTATCCATTGCTGCCTAAAGCTTCTTCAGCATCTGGGAAGGAATCTGGTATTTAGTGCAGTTTATGTGTCAAGAGCAGATAAAGGAAAAAATCAAGCTGAAAACATCCTGGAGGAACCGAGGAAAGATTTTGTTTTGCAGATTTTGTGAATTATTTGCTCTGGCTGCTGTCCAGCTCAGTCTATTTATCTTGTACTCCAAGTGGCCTCATATCTGCCCTGCTCAGAGCTTTAGTGGGACTAATTCAGTTCCATTCTCACCTTTCTACTAATGCTTCAAGATATTCCTTATGAAATAAACCAAAGCTGAGATTTTAAAAGTTTGTGAGTACTCAGGTTTGTTCTATATTTAGGCAAAGAAAGTGTATTTTTGCAGCTGCTTAAAGACCTTGGCTCTCCTCTTGTATCGTAGTCTCTAAAGGACAATATTGGCCAGTTCTGCAGTTTGAGTTTGATTGGTTTTAAGTGTTCTTGGAAAAAAGCAGTATGGATTATTGCTCAGCTGACCTGTGCTGATGGTGAATATTGAAAATCACTTATACAGAATGTTCAAAAGTCAGTGTCTTTTCCTGGCTAGAAATTTGTCTGTGACAGAATGAGATGGGGAGAAATTAGGAAAGCTTTTAAAGACTCCTGGGCATTTGTAGACCTGGGCAGAGTGCTGAATTTTCTTTTTGTGTGTGATATTTTTGCTCCACATGGAAGGCAACATGTTCAATATTCCTTAGCATGTCTTGTGTGTGAAGTGTGATTAACCCCTTCATGTTGACGAGCTGTTCTGGATCGGAATCATTATAACAGAAAAGGTTTTATAGAGTAAAAGTGAGTTATTGAACCAGCCTGATAACATGGGCAAAATAATTTACAAGCAGCGAGGCATAGATTTACTGTTAGAGAGAACAAAGGCATGAAGTGATGTTAAAACTGAACTCAGTGTTTATCTTTTTATTTTCTTCTTTTTTAACCTAAATATAACTTCATGAGGTTGTTCTCTACATAATTTTTATTTTCTAAAATACAGGCCTTTTCTGCTTGACACTTGTGTGGAATTAATTCTGCCTTCTAAAACTGCTTTTCTCTCTTTGGTACTGCTCTGTGATATGAGACTTCTGTGAGTCCTGCATCCCCCTCTGCTTTTTGTTGAGGTCCTGATACAGGGGATAAAAATAGTTTTAAGGCAGTTTAATACCAGTGCTTGTGCTGGGGTTGCATTCATTCAGGGAACTAAAAGTATCCCAAAGGGAGGAGGAGACAGTCTCCTGGTTTGTTCTTGAACCCTGCACAGAAATTGGGCTGAAGGCAATACTATAGAACAGTTGGGTAACATTAAAGAAAGTATATTCCAGCTCAGCATGGGAGGGAAGGAGGAGGGTTCAGAGATGGTATGAAATGTATAATAAATGATCATCATCTTGTAGAGACAAAGCTCAGAACATTCTTCAAGATTCAGAATGACCAAAAAAGTGCTGGAGATGAAATAGTTATGCATAAACACCTCCAGTATTTGTATGAAAAGTTGCAACAATTTCCAAGGCTCAGTGGATTAGATTAAGTTTAGGTCACTGTTAGGGCCACCAGCTGCAAAACAGGGACAGATGAAAAATGACTCAGTGATTGTATGGACATCCTTCCATATGATTCTGATTTATAATCAGAATTTTTGGAAACTGAAGACATTACCTCTATTTCTTGTATTTATGAAAAAGGAAGACTCCTTTTATCAGTTACTGTGTTATAAATGAATAAAGTGCATTTTAAAAATCAGGCACAATATTAAACAGCAATCCAGCTGTGGTTAACAAATGTGAATGATCCCTGGAGTAACAGCACTGTCTGCTCGCCCAGACCCCTCTGTGGAGCTCATGTTCTCCTGAACTTTGCTATATATCACCAGTTATATCCTGACACAAAGCCAACCTACTGCAGCTTATTTAAATTTCTTAGAATTCCTTCCTGAATTGGCATTAGTTCTTTATGACAACATCATCATTTGTGGAGAGCTGTTACTCTGTCCACAGGGACACTCGAGTCAGGGCTCTGAGCCTCAGTGGCCTGATACAGATATTTTACATGAGTGTTCCTTCATCTCCTCCTTATGTCCTTTGTAGCATCTGCTTTACTCTCTGTGTCTGTGGCTCGTCTTCATATTTACCTGCTTTTCCTTGTCTTGTGCTTTTATAAGAAAGGGGAAGGTTAATTTATTCTTTTTTTTTCTGTGTAGAAGATGAATTTATGCAATGAATTATAAGATTATTACGTGTTTTTCTTTTAAATTAATTGGGTTGTTAGAAATGTAAATTTTGGATGAAATACATTAAAACATCAGATGATAAATGTTTGTATTTGCGGAGTTCATAACTTGCAATACCCACAATTTGGCTTATAGCTGAAAAGTTCATACCCCTGCAGCAGTGCTGGGAAATGATTGTGAAATCTCTTTAGTGTATACTGTTTTTGGTTAAAAATATAGCATGTTCTCCTTTCCTGCTTTTCAGGTAGGAAATGCCTATGTTTATTACTTGCAATGATCAAATTGAGAAACAAAGAAGGAAATGGATACATATTGTAAAAGTGGAATGTGAATAAATTAAACTAAGAAAACGTGAACTGTAAACCATCTGTTTTCTATAAAGAACTCTTTGCTAATCCACATAACTTTTATTATCAGAATACTGAAGTAAGTATCTCAAAAAATAACCCTTATAAATATGAAATACCATCCAAAAAATGGGAAAAGGCAAAATATATTCCCACTCTTTTGAGGCTAAAGAAAGAAATGGAGACAGTTGGATTAAATAATTAAATGCAGTTATTTATCTTCCTTTATTTTTATTTTTTACAATAACCTCTTGTGGCTGGTGCTTCTACTGAATTGCTAATGGAGACGCTGAGTTGTGAACCAGATCAGGCTTTGCTTTTGTATTTTCTGATTCTGCTGTAAATAAGCTCATTAAGCTGTTTGGTGCTTGTTAGATCTTGCTGTTACTGATAAAATAAATAAGATTTTAATACATGTTTAGTTCTTAGTTCCCAAATCTATTTTCTTCTAAAACCACTAAATAATATTCTGAAACTAAATACCAGAGCAAACATGAAGCAAGGATGTTTTGCTACCAAAATCTGGTGCTTGTGTAGTGGTATAATTGGTTTATCCAGAGCTCCACACTTGCATGGCTGCTTTGAGTACCTGGATCAGGGTGGATGTCTGTCTGCTGCAGGACACTGCAGCATGGAGCATTGTAGGCATGCTGTTCCCAAATTTAAGGAGCTAGAAAATGCCTTGGAATATAACCATAGTTGGTAGTGCTTAAAAAAAAAACCCACAGAGTTTCAAATTCTGCTATATGGAGGCACTCAGCATTTCCTGGTAGTGAGGAGCAACACCAGCACGTTACCAGAGCTCAGGGTAGGGAGGGCACAGAACTGGCTGTGGAATTAGCAATAAAGGTCAGTGTGACCTGTCTGCACTCCTGTCTCCAGCAAGGGCCATAAGCAGATGCTTTGGGAAGAGTGGGAACAGGACAGTCAGGTAGGATCCTTGTCTCATCCTCTCCTCAAATGTTCTTCCATTCTCCAGCTATTTTCAGATCAGCTCTTTTGTACCTGCTGTGCTTTGTTTAACAACCTGTAATGGATCTCTTCCAAGAAATACAATTGCCTGTGCAGTCTTCTCTTGAAACACATGTAAAATTGCTGCTGTGTCCTCGGGGGCTCAGTTTAAGGGCTGACTTTTCACTGCTACAAATGTCTGTTTGTCCAGTTTGTACCTGGGACATATCCCTTGATGGCTCCTTGCCCCTGTCCCGGAGCAGCTGATCCCTGGATCCATGCTGTCTGTGCAGCTCCTAATTTTGTGGGGATCTTCTGCAGCTCCTCTTAGGAATTTCTTTGCTGAGCTGGTGAGGGCCTTCTATGCTGTTTAGATAGAAGCCATTCCTTACCTTTAGTGGCCTCATTACCTTTCTCAGATCCTTTTCTAATCATGCCATATGTAATTACACCAACTATATGAGGGTTTGGAAATCAATAATTTGATTAATGTCTGGGTGAATCACAGATTTATAGTGGTGCCTTGATGTCTCTTGTTTTCTCTTTCTCTCTAGTTACTCTACATTTGAGTTTGCTGCTGGGTACCAAGCCAGTGTTTTCATTGAACCACCTACTGAACTACTTGAGTCTTGCTCCTGAGTGGTGGCAATGAGGTCACACTTCCATCTTTTCCTTGGATATCACTTCTCATTTAACAATGATGAGTTTCATTGGCTGTTTTAGCATCCCAAGGTCTTGTTGCAGTCATTCATCAATCCTTAGTGCTCGTGACCTCCCTTCTCAGCCCGGTTTGTCCATCTCTTGCAAGTATTTTAAATTGAATAAATTTCAGCAGAGGCCCTTTGCAAAGCTCCCACCAGCAGGATCCCTCCACAGTAAGAACTGACCATTTATTCTTTCTTAAAAACCTCTCAGAAATTTTTATAGGCAGTTTGGACCAGGATCTCCCTTTTCCACATCCTTCATGATTCCCTCAGAGAACTCCAAGAGATTTGCAAGGGCAGAACATCGTGGCTTTTACAGAAGCCATTCCCAGTCTTACCAGAGCAAACTGCATTCAACTCAATATCCATGAATTCTGTTCTTTATTAGGAATTCCTGTTTCTCCAAAGCTGGCAAGTCTTTAGTTCCTTGATCACCCTAAAATCCTTCTGGAAGAACAGTGTCCTATTTGCCACAGATGAGAGATGATAATACTAATTGAAAGAAAAGTGAGTTATAATGGTTCTGTTTGTAATACAATTTTCATGTTCCATTTGAAGGAGTTAAATATAATAAGACTCAAATGAGTTAAATGTCATAAGCTCTAAAGCTTTCAATAACTGTCAGTTTGACTTTAAAAAATGTATGTAACTAGTTGCTGTGGAGTCCATATCTTTAATTCTACTTTAAAACTAAAGCTAAGCTTTGCTTGAGAGATGATTTTAAAAAGCAGAAAGTTTGTGGTAGAAGATATAATATTCATACTATAGATGGATAGTGTCCTTTTTTTAAAGCTGAGCAAACCTTTCAAAAAAGCCTCTATTTTAGCCTGCATTTTGTGCACCGTTCACTTAAAACTTGAAATAGCTGAAAGGTTCCCTAAGGTTCATATACTCCATGTTTATATTGATAAAGCTATAAAGTTATAAATATATCTAAATTTGTACATATTTTAATGAGTATGCATATGTTCCTTGTTCATGAGCCAGAGGTTGATAAATGTTAATAAACACATTTTAAGAAAGAGGAAGACAAGATTATATTCATGGGCTTACAATGAATCTTTATGTTAAAAAATGTGTCACTAGGTATTTTCAATCTCTTAAAAATTGTTTCATCAGAAACCAAAATATATGAAGGTGGGCTTCAAAAAATAACTGACATTGTAAGAGAAAAAAACAAACCTGTGTGTAACTTTCTAGAAACACTAGTACAAATCTGCTCACATACTTTTATGTAGCTTTTTGAGTTTTCATGTCCTTTAAGTACAGTGTAAAATTGGTAGTATGATGTATGAATCTTTTGCTTCCATTCTTTTTTTTCCCTGTTGAAAATGGTGATTCTCCCTCAGAGGTAACAAAGCTTTAATGGGGAAAAAGTGCTGAAAAATGAAGAAGAAAAAAAAAGCATTAAAGTGCTCTACAGTGTTATCTTAACCTGTAGTTATTTGGATCTGTTTCTAGGCATAAGACACCAAAAAAATCTACATAGCTCAAGGGTTATACAGTATTTCAGGTTACTTAAAGCAGTTTAAATTCTACTTTGAAGCAGAATGTAGCTCACTGCTATTAGCTTTGCAGAGGGACAGTCTAAAATATTAGTTCAAAAAACCTGGAATGCTTCTATTTGTGCCTGTTCTACCTGACTAACAATTCTAATAAAAAAGATTATATTACAGTTTTATATGTCTTCTGAAGTAGCATGGACTAAAGCACAGGTAAAATGTAAATGCTAATGGTTCAGTTGTGTTAATACTCATACTCATACTTCTCCCTAGATTCTAAGAGTGTGATGAGAGGTTGTGTATTGCCTATGTTACTAATAAGCTGAAATATCATTTGAAAGATTGTGATAGTTGAGGTACAGACAGAGAAGTAAATATTATAATACGCCTTGTCAGGACACTTAAAACATAGAATGGGGAAGGTTTGATTTTTCTCAAAAAATCAAACCTCAAAGATTGATTTTCTTGTCCAGTTAGAAACTGGAAGAAGAAACATCTGTATTTCTGGAGGATGTGGAGGAACCTTGTGGAAGTATTCTTGTGACCTTACCCTCCTGTCCTGCTCTCTAGTGTGTCTGTTTTCCTCTGCTCTCAGCAGTTGGATGCAGAGCTGGGAGGATTTTTGGCCTTAACTGTTTGTTCCTATTGAGTATGACATTCGTGTGTGTTTTAGGCATTTTGCAGTTGGATCACTTTAGAACACAGAAGCTTTTTCAGGTTGGTTTTCTTCAGCTTAGGCTGCTCACCCAAGGGTGAGCCCACCATCAACCCAGGTATGTATCAGACTTAGTCTGATGCTCAGGTGAGTGCTCTTTGTTCCTGGTGTTCTGGTTTTTACTACATCAATAAGAGGACACTTCCCTACACGAAATCCGACCTCCACACACGTATCTTAAACATCCCAGACTATCCAATTGTTCTAGAGTGGCTATGAATGACCCCCAACTAAGGAAAACTTTCCCTGTACACTCATGAACAATTCCTTCAGTGAAAGTAAGGATAGAAGTAGTTGTCTTCTGCTTCGTGATCCTCTTCGGTGTCTTGACTGTGCGTTTCATGATTGTCTTCTGCTTCCTGGTATTCCTCTGGGGTTAGGAACCGCCGGAACACCGGGGTTCTGAGCCGGGTTGGCTTGTTGAGAGTCACATTTTGTTCTCCATAGTAGATGGTTCTGATGAGGGGGAAGCAGAAGAAGGCATAGCTGCTGATTGGGCTCGTCAGCTTGTTCTGGTCCACGCGGATGTAGGTCAGCTGGTGGATGTTCAGTGGGTCCAGAGTTGGGCACATCAGAGTAACGTTTATGTCTGAAAGAGAGTGAAAAATCTTAATTAAAATGCAGAAAATTAAGACCTATTGCAAAAGTGAAACTTATGTTTTGAAATTTAAAATGGAAAATATTTTTGCACAGTTATATCACTTTTGCATTTTAAATCAGTTTTGTAAATGGCAGTGATGACAGTTTGGGGGTGTGAAAAATATAAGGTTGTGGAGTAAAAAAGAAATATGACTACCACTACAGTTTGTAATTAGTATTTTATGTGAACGAAATATTTTTGGAATTCCTTTTCTCTGTATGTTTTTATCAGTTGCCACGTCAGAAGCAATTTTCAAAAAGTTTTTAGCTTGTTCTATGAAAAACTGGTATTAAATTTTACAAGGAATTGCAAATTAGGGGTAAACTGAAAAATCAAATCCTTTCTAATTTCACCAGTTTGGTCTCAAATGACTGAGGATGTGTTTACAATGCATCCTGAAGAAGATGGGGTGATATTCTCCCTGCATTCCTCCCACAGCCAGTGCCAAAATCCACTAAGTTTTCTGCTTTTAAAGAATTTTATCCATCAACGTACTTTCAATTTCGTTGCCTTCAATATACAAGTGCTGCAAACTTCTTGGAATGTAGAATACTTCTTTCAGTTTGTTGTGTCCAAGGTTAAGTTCCAGGAGGTTGGGTAGGTTAAAGGTGTTGCGTGGAATGTTCTGCAGGTTATTGTGGGACATTCTCAGAGCAATGATTTTGGGAAGTCTGTGGAAATAGTTTTCTGGAATATAAGAAATGGAGTTATTTTCAAGAGAGAGATGCATAAGTGATGACGGCAGACCGGGAGGCATCGTCTGTAACTTGTTGTTGCATAAGTTGAGCTGCATTAGATTTTTCATGTTGGAAAAGGGTCGGTCTTTGAGTACTGAGTCATCAAGTAAGTTACTGCAAAGGTCCAGCACGGTGATGTTGGGTAACCCTTCCAGTGCATCCCCAGGTAACCGGGAAATCTTATTGAAGCCAAGGAGGAGTCTCTCTAGAGAGCTGGGCAGTGGGAATGGAACCTCTTCTAACTCATTATGTTGCAAATAAAGTTGCACTAAGCTTGAAAGTTTGGCAAAAACCCCCTGGTCAATCATATGGAATTTAATTTTGTTGTAGCTGAGGTTGATTTCCCTCACGAAAGTGACATTAGTGAATGGTGCTGCAGGCACAGCTTCAATGTCGTTGTTTTGCAGGTAAAGTTGCTGGACGTGACTGGGGATATTTGGAATTATCTTCAGTTTCCGATGGTCACAGTACATGGACAAGGGGAAAGCTGGTGGGCAAAAACATTCCCTGGCACACTCAACTGGGAAAGGAAAGCGAGGAACTTCAACTTGTGTGTTCGGGTTAAAATAATATGGAGTTTGATGGTCTGGCTCCTCATAGTCATCCTCGAAATCATAATCTTCGTACTGACAAACGACCAAAGCAGCCCAGAGGAGGTGAAAGATTGATTGGCTCAGAATCCCCATATTTAAATTCATATGTTTTGACCTGTTGATGAGAAGGAAAATTAAGTTTTAGATAGTCGTAAAGTAAATTACAGTGCATTTCTTTGGCAACACTGTCAGTGCCATTATTAACAAAACCAAGTTTTGATCTGTACCTTCCAAGAAGAAAAGCATAAACAAATTCATTGTACTTGAAGTAAACAGAAGTTTTCTGGTCTGACTTCAGACAAGGAACAGCTTTCTACATGTCCTGTGCCTGGTACTGAAGGACACCAGTTGGGAGTATTAAACAATCCCAGTCTTCATTCCTGTCTTACTTTAATTTACTGCAGAGTTGCAGCAGGGTTTTTTATGAAGTGGTATAGCTGAGGTTTGTACTGGACACTTGAGGTGTAGCGGGTTAAGCGTCAGCCTTACAACTCAGTTTTAAAATGGGTGCAGGTGGAATTCCTGAATAACTTTCTTCCTCAGACCTTTAGAAACACATAGATACCCTAATTATACACATTTATTTGTAGATATTTATAGGTACTCTAATTATACCCATTACACATAATACCCTAAATTAGACACATTTTTGTGAACGCATTTGTTATCCTCACTCTGCTGCGTAGCCAATGTCACACAAGTGTTGGAAGTGACTTCGTAGAATCACAGAGTCATGGAATGGTTTAGGTTGGAAGGGACCTTAAAGCCCATTTCATTCCACCCCCTGCCATGGGCAGGGACACCTTCCACTAGCCCAGGTTACTCCAAGCCCCATTCAACCTGGCCTTGGACACTTCCAGGGATGGGGCAGCCACTTGCTGCTCAAGTGTTTCCATCTCCAGCAGCAGATTAGATCAGCCTTGACTTTCTCTTGAAGATCTCCAGGGGTGAAATTCTAGCATGTCTCTAAATAACCCAAGGTAGTGCTGTACTACCCTCCTTGTGAACAAACTGCTTGTCTTACTAAGCATCCAAGCCGTGGCTTGTGTCTATTGTTTTTGTTTTTAAACAAAGTTTAAAACATATATTTGTTAAAATATATCTAAACATATATTTGTTTAAAATATATGTCCTGGACTAAGGTGAGGTAATCACAGGATTGTTTCTATAAAGAGAACATTGAAATAGATTACTTGGAAATATTGTATATTACGTAAAATAGAAAATCATGTGGCTTTGGGGATTGTATGTTCTGTGGCATTTTATGTTTTTTTCTATTAGTGGCTTAGTACTGTGTGTTAATAATGATAAAAATGGGATTTTTCCATTCCCATAATTTAGTTAAATCCAATACACTTCAACCACTGTTTGCACATCACAAAAAATCTTCATAGTCTTCCTGTGCTTCTCTAATCCTATGTTCTCTATAGATGTGAACTACTTGGCCTTCAAAGTACCCTTCTGAGGTGAAACCCTGATGCTGTGAAAGACAAATCATTTTGCAAAGCCAGACTAACATTGTAGAGCACTTTATGCAGAGGAACCCTGTTATTTGGCAGAATTAGCAGTTGTGAGTCATGTGAGGCTGTTCAACCTAAACAACAGCAGATGAGTCAAAATGTAACATTGTAGGTCAAAGCACATAAACCATGGAAAAGTTTTAGAGACTTTGTTCAGTATAGGACGAGAACCCTGAGGCAGAGAGAGGAAAGCAGATATTCTCAGGGGTTTGTATAGTGACATCCATGTTTCTTATTCAAGGGACTCTGTTTTCTTGATACTCTTAATATTTGGTTACTGAACACTGTCAGTAACAAAGAAGATGAGACCTAAAAATGCTAATTTCCTGTGATTCCTAGTGGTGATTGCCTAATGCATGATGTAATCTATTAATTGAACAAGATAGAGGGAATTCTAAGAAAAAAAGTAGTAACAAACTCGTGGTATTAATGTATCCTTGTAATCTGATGTGACCCAGAGCCTGTGTGTGCCAGTGGCTGGGTGGAATCCTGTGTCATGGTCAAACTTGCATTTTTAGCTTTGTATTTGAGTGCTCCTGCAATCAAATTTCATAACTGATTAAAACCTGAAAAATAGGTTTGAGTGGAGTCAGTTGTTTGGAACCCCATTGTAGGCAGGTCTCTAGCAAAGCCAGGGGCTCCATATCCCTGTGGCATCATCAGATGTCTGAGCTCATCTAAGCACCCAACACAAGCACAGAGAGCAGCCTCCCACTGCACACACTGTGAATGCTCTGTGCTGACAAACTGTGCAGGCTCTTGCTGGGCTGAGAAGCAATACTGTGCTGCAGGAGCCATTCATTGGGTGTTGGATTTCAGGCAGAGTATATCAGGAGAATATCTCATCTTCTAATCAGTCCTGTTGATATCTACATAGGTAAAATCTGTCTCTGAATCCTGTAACTCCATTCTGGTTTTGTGAACAGACCCTTCCACAATCTGTCCCCGTGCCCATTTCACGCTCTTGGTTTCCTTTTGATTCCCGTGACCCCCTTCTTCCGCTAGAACTTGAGCTTCACCTTCTAGTTCCATCCTCCCAGCATTTTTACTGCATGTCACAAAATTTCCAATTAATAATTTTGGTTCTCAGTGCCGCAGTTGTCCTAAGAAACCAGGAGGAACAACCCAGGAAAGTCTGCTCAGTTTGGGAAAACCCTTTCTTAGACCTTTGTGGATTGATCCACTTGCCATGTGGTTGGTGTAAAGAGAACTACCGTCATGTCAGATGGAAGGATAAATAATAGGTACCAAAATCTCCCAGTGGATTTGTGAAGAAACTGGTATTTGGGGAGAACTCTTTGCACCTTGGCTGTCGGTGAGTATATTTGATAAATACTAGAATAACATGTCCTTGAATAGTAACTGTCCTGCCAGTCTTGCAGGTCACTTCTCAGAGCACTGAGATACTAACACTTCAGGAGATATTTCTAAGAACTTAACCTTAAAACAGTCATGTCAGGGGAAACTTGATAACAGGAGATGCAAGTCAGATGCACTCAATATGATAAACCACATACTTAAAACTGAAAACAGAAAGTCTTAAAAGCACAATTCTCTATCATCTGTAACGAACTCAGAGCTTAGTAACTGTATTTGTAAGCAGTTTAGGCTGCAAATTATAGAACATGCATGAATCACTCCTTACTGAAAAAATAACACAATCAGTTCATTTTATTCCTGCTTACCAAGAAAACTTACTCTTTGGAAGTCGGTGAAGTTGAAGTTGTAGAAGGCAGCAAGTTATTGTGCTGGTGAAATCATCTGAGACTTAGCCTAGCGCAGCTGGAGGAACAAAAGATCTGTCTAAGCCATATTTTGTGGTGAGGAGCCTTGTGGGAAGGCAACACGAAATAACAGCCTTGGCCCCTCTTCTGATTTGCCAGTAAAATAAAAAAAAAGTGCTTTGTGCCACATCATCACTTGCTGTGGATGCTGTGTCATAAGGCTGTGAAGCAATTTGTCCTTTTGTTAAAATCGCTTCACAATAATTTGCAAGATTCTTTTCAGTGTTACCAGTTCCCATAAAAAAAAAAGAGAGCGAGAATAAGACTTCAAAAATGATTACAGAGGATATTAGTTCATTGGTTCAGCTGCAGTGATTCAGTTCTGCAAAGGGTTTGTCCTCTGAGGGCGAAGTTAAGAAACAGTAAAAAAAATTAACCTTACCAAAATTGAGGGGAAACCTGCCACAGAAGAGCTCTTATAAACATCTTCCATTTTTCTCTCCCCAGTCTATATGTCCTGTCTCCTTCCTGCAAAGGACTTGTGCTATGCAGTGCTGTCAGAGTGATGGTGGTAAAGTTAAGGATTCACAGAGAGTTTCCAACATCTTTTTTGCTAAGTTGTGTAGAGAGAGCATAAATCTTACGAAAAGGGCAAGTGTGACATGAGACAAAAACCATTTTACTCAAGAAAAATATTTTTCATAGCTTTTAAGAGGAATTAAAGAAAAAAGGCACAGTTATCTGCCTTTGCTGCTGTATGATTCTTAAATAACTGTGATATATGCAAAAAAATGGAGAAAATGGACAGTTTTTGTGTAAAGTGGATTGTTTGATTTATCCTAAGCATTTAATTATGGTTTTGGTTTGGTAGAATAATTAGGTTATTTCCAAATCTATTCAAAAGAAAGAATCTAGTTCTTAAAGATGTTTCTTAAAAAGTGCCTTAGAGGTATCATATTTTAAAAAATAACGCAATACTAAGTTTCTTTTTTTGACTTTGAGCTTTGTGACTCTGACTTGCTCGACCTTTTCAAGTTTCTTCTTTAACGCTGAGAACAGGAACATGTTTAAGAAGATAAATCCTACATGATTCTAAAATTTGGGATATAAAGAAAAGCACCAGAAGTCGTGCCCAAAATGCTGTTGTAGGAATAGGCAATACTGGAACTAAACTAAAGCAGTCATGTATTTATGTAGAGAATACAGAATACAAGGGAGAGGTTGAAAGAGAGAAATTAAAGCTCCATAATCCTTATTAACAGTACCATAAATAGTTGAATGGCTACATTGTACCACTAACCCCAAGGAATATTAAAAAAAAGAGTAATTTTTGAAATAATTAGAATACATTCATAACAAGAAATTAAAAAACCCACCAAGTTTGTTATGCCCAGTTAGTAAAATGTTATTGGCTGCTACAAACTTTGGGCATTTTTTAAGCACAAGACAAAGAACATGTTACAGATTCTTGGAAGCTTTGTTCTATTAACAGTTCTAAACAAAATATATATAAAATTTAAAACTATCTTATCTAAAGATAAAACTTAGAGTTTTAATTCCATACCTGATATTTTTCTTATTGTTTCCTAGTACTGATTGTGTCCAAAAGGCTCTTAAGGTATTAAGAGAGTTAAAATCTCAAGGTGCATTTAAAAATCCATGGTGGCAGTGAAGGAGAGTCTGTCCATTTGAGAAACTGTGGTAAAGCTCTTGATTTAAAGCACTTTGAGCTGCAGAAGATGATGCAGCTCTGGCCATGGGATATATTAAGATTCAGTTCCTGTTTTGTTGCCTGAGCTGTCTTGGAGACAAACAAGTCTATACTTTGTGATCTTGGTCAAGCTGTGTGGTTTGATCTTGGGTTTCATTTGAGGTGTGGTAGGAATTTCCTTACAAGGAGGATAATGAGAAGGTTAAATTTAGCATCATTCATATAAGACATTTTGTTTCAAAGACTGAACATTTTTTAAATTTTCAATGTTTTGATTTCTAGTTTCAGAACATATTTCATAAAGACTTATTTTTACCATTGAATTTGTGAACTTTTTTATGCAGTTGTGATGCAGAGCTGGATGTCTGTCAGTGTAGCAGTCAGGGTTGGCTTCAAGATCATTTATTTTCTTAAGCCAAACTTGGATGGATCCTTTTAATAAATTAAAATCTTTAGAATTTTGCCATCTCCCTTAACTGCATTCAGCTTAGGAGACTTGACAGCTTTCTCAGGTTTCTTTCCAGTCTGAAGGCATAAGGAAGAGGTCTGTTCTAGTATTTAATGAATTTAGGTTAGTTTAGCTAGTTGAGTACAGTCAACCTAACACATTTGAGATTGCCAAATTTTAGCCAAATATTCATAGAATAAAGTAGAGAAGATCACCAGTGACATTGAGGTGAATGGGACTGGTCTTGATAATAAGAAGGAATTAATTACACTACTTGGCCTTTTTTCTTATATTCACTGGTTTAAATTCTTGGGGGTTTTGTGTTTGTTGGGTTTTTCTTGGTGAGGTTTTTTCCTTTCCCTCTCAAATTTAGAATTTGAAGCCTAGAGAAAGGAGAAGAAAAAAAAAGGTGCATCTTGTTTATAGAGAATTAAAGGAACTCAAATGAAGCCAGGCTGCTGAAATTAGACCTGAGGACTGTCTACACATAATTTTGCTAGAATTAGGAAGTTCTTCAGCAGAGGTAATTCTCCACTATCAAATGTCTGAAGAAAAGCCTCAAGCTGAAAACTTTTAAATCCTCAGTTGACAACTCAGTAGGAGTTCTGTTTTAGATAAGAATTGGTAATGTTGGTTTGTTCTGAGTGATTGCACTGCAGAGAAGTCAAATATAATGAGGAACTGTGAATTGTAATTTGGTTCCCTGTAAAGCCTGTGGGTTTCTGAAGTAGGAAACAGCCTTAGGCTCGTGTCATCTCCCGGGCTGCACTTCAAGTTCAGGCTGTAGGAACAGAAGCTCGTTGCATCCTAATTTCTAGGTGTTAACTGGCAATCCCCAAATGCTGTCAGACCACCTGCAACCTGTGTGAGTCCTGTAGATGGTCTGCAAAGGCACTTCTTGTCCTTGCCATCACCAGAAGTAACTGAGTGGGAACTGAATAGTGGCTGCTGGATTTATTTATCCTGTGCAAGATCTGAAAATCCAGTGTCTGCAGTGCAGAGCTCAGCAAATCAAGATACTCAACTGCTTGTTCCTGCAGAGGCTCCAGCCCAGCCAGAGCCCTCAGTTAAGAACAACCCTTCCAGGCTTCATGTTAGTCTGTTCTTCAGTGGAAAGCCATTCCAGGAGCGTGTCCCTGTGTGAATATGTGTTTTTAAAGGAAAAGGTTATGGAAAAGGGGCCATCGAATCATATCAGTAGTCCCGCAGAGCTGAAACAAGAACTAATCTATTTAAAAGAGCGAAGGAAGGCAGAGCTGTGCCATGTGTGGGGCTTTGCTGTTGCCTCTGACCTGAACCTTGTTGTGTGGTCTCTCTTAATTTCCCATTTAGTAGGTGGTATTTCAAGGTCAAAACTCTGGCAACTCACTTCTTGTGCAGCCAATTTTAAGTGTTTTGCTCTGTTTTGCTAAGAGCTCCTGGGAAGAACATGTTGAGCAACTGAAAACAGTTGAGCTTATTGACCTTGTCCCATGGGAATTAATATAATCCCATTGGCAGTTGTTGAGTAACTTCTGCCAATGAACAGTAATACACTGGATTTTTAGAGCTGAATGTACTAGAAGCATCCAGAAGCAATACTTTAGGGAGCCCTGATCTCATTAAATGGCTGTTTAAACATCTGCATGAACACGTGCAGTGAACAATTGGCATTGCAAAAGCAGAGTATCAAGTCTCCTGACACGTTCAGATTTGTAATACTGAAACTTTCTGAATGGAAGGGTGAGTGTGAGGTTTTTTGCAATGACAGTATCAATTTACAGTAATTGATTTGGAAAGACTGACAGAAGAGGAGGGTTATGACATTTGTCTGAATGCATTGCTGTGTTAGAAACCTTAGAAGATTGTAATACTAAAATAGTAGTATGACAATAATATTATTAATACTACTGGGAAGGGTTGCTTTTTTTTAAATAGAGGGATTTTGCTTTCTAGAGCAGAGGCATTTAGATAGTCCTCAGCATATAATGTTTCTACTAACACAATATCATAAACAATCAATACTGGAATAATAAGACAAGTTGAAAATTCATATAAGCAATATTATCTGTTGCAAGTAGTGTCTGGTTACTCTAAAATACCCTGCAAATCTCTGCTGAGGAGAGTCACTGTTGTCAGCTGACACTTATATTTTTAGTAATGGAATAGCTTGTTTAATAAATATGCTTTGCTTTATACTTTGCATTTTTATGCTGCCTGTTTTGGCTGTTCCAAGACAGATGACTTTGGGCTGTATTTTCGTTCCTCATGGGGTTCTACTGAACTGGAGATTGTGTATCACTGATTACACCAATATAATATGGGAATGTCTGCCTGTTTTTGCAACTGTTTACTGGTGCAGATATATTCATTTTCTTGAGGCAGCATTAGCAGTTGGGCCTCAAACTTAAAGAGAGCCTTTATTTTGCCTGATTTGTGCTCTATATAAAATTGTATAAATGATCATAGTATGTGGCAGGTGTCTTGCACTCACTAATAAATATTGCAAATAAAATTAAAGGAACATTGTGTTTTGTAAGGGAGGAAAGTGAGGAAGGCAACACAGCTGAATGTCTGTTCCAAAACAGGCACTTCTACTCCCTTCAAACAGAACTGCTGCCTTCGGTGCCCCAAGCTGAGAGATGCCTAAAAGAGATAATGTGAATTCTACTCTACCTTAACAGTTTACATCAATACCTTATTCATCACCTTATTTCATCCATTCATAGCTCAGGACTTTCTGCAGTTTTGGTAAAAGAACAGAAAAATGTGCCTGCAACTTCAGATTGTTCCCAGGTTTGTATCCAGTCTGCAAATTATATGCTTATAAGGGTTTTTTTTTAGGCACTTTCAGGCAAGGTTGAGGAGTAGTTGTCTAAG